TACTCTTTGATGTCTTCATGTGACATATTAACCTAAATTTTAATGACAAAACATAAGACTCTAAACATCTTTGTTGTAAGTGATTGCTTTAGCTTATGCTTCCACACTCTTTGGATTCTTTCAAAATTCCAAAGGATGGCTTGATATTTTTTGCCATATGCAGTAAGCAAATACTACTGAGTACTCTGTGTAAGGCAGACATGAAGTAAACAAAGATGAATAAAACAAACATACAAAGAACATCATATTTACATACAGCCACAAGTAAAGAACAAATCTTGAATATATCACAAGAAAATATATGTATGATACCTTACATTCAGGGGAACCAAGAGTTGATTAACAGCTTACTTCTCATAAGAAACCATGAAGGCCAGAAGAACAGCATATTTAAATTATGAAAATAAAAAAATAAAACTTCTCAATTTAGAAGTTCTTAATTAAGCAAAAATAACTTTTATAAATGAAAACTAAAGAAAGACATTTTCAAAGACAATGATCTATCACCAGTAGGAACTGCATACAAGAAGTACTAAAGAACATTTTTTACGCTCAAAGGAAATGACACCAGATGGCTGAGCATCTCTTCAAATGTTTATTGACCATTGAGTTTGCTCTTTGTGAATTCACAAATAATTTATATTTTCCTGATTACTAATAAGATTGAACATTTTTTCAAATGTTTGTTGTCCAGTGAATTTGCTCTTTTGTGATTTGTTAATTCAAATCATTTACCCAGGTTTCTATTAAATTCATTTTTCTTAGCAATTTGTAAAAACTTTATGCTCTATAAATAACAAACCCTGTAACTGTAATGCAGTTAATTTGCCTTTAAACTTTTTGATGTCTTTTGCCAGAAATGTTTAATCTCTCATGGTCAAAGATACCTATATATCCATTTTTATTTTCTGGATATCCTGTCTTAAAAAGAGTATCATGGATCCCTAAAGTGCACACAGATATACATATGACCATAGGATCCTAAAATTAATGACTCAGAATTTTTTTCTTGTGCTTTCTCATTAATCCATCCATTTTTGTTTTTTGTTTTTGTTTTTTAAAATATATTTGTGGTAAAGAAGAGGTGCAAATCAATACTTCTTGTCCTTTTTACACCATTGGCTACTTTGATATCTGACAAAAACTGTGAGCCTTTTCTCAGAATGTTGTATAGACCCATTGAGTTTGCATACTGACATATACTGTCAGAAGGTTGTGGCCTTTTGATTGTAGCCAGTGTGTATCTTGATTACATTTTGTGGAAACAATTCCTACTTAAATACCTTTCTTTGGCATATCCATTAGGATGACATCAGAATTGTGATCCTTGTACCCTGTTACATTTATTTCATTGCTGCCTAGATACGGAACCCTATGTAGTTAATGTATTTTAAAAATAGAGGAAGCTATGTATGTAAGGTAGGCTGACAGCAAATTTATTGCTCTATCAGACATTACTGTCTATGTTAGTCCTGCAACTTTCATTGCCATTCTATGTTCTTAGACGATGTGTATATTTATCTTGGTTGAATATTTGGTGATTTCATGACTGGAAAAGATTTCTGTCATCCCTTCCCTTCCTCTTAACTATGTGACCAAAGTTACCCTATTCTCCTTCATGTCTTTAAACACCAATATCTTAGCATTTTTGGGTTTATAAGTGTATGGAACTAGAGAAAGAACAGATTTATGCCAGTTTTCTATATATTTGTTTTGTTGCTGTTATGTTGATCAGTTTTTACCAAGGCCATCGAATTTGGCATTAATGTATAAGAACACAGGCTTTTGAGTTCAAACAAAACTCAATTTGTACCCATTTTAATTTCTCTGAGCTTTTTTTAAACAGAGTTTCCTTTTTGTTGCCCAGGCTGGAGTGCAATGGCATGGTCTCAGCTCACTGCAACCTCCATCTCCTGGGTTCAAGTAATTCTCCTGCCTCAGCCTCCCAAGTAGCTGGGATTATAGGTACCCACTGCCATGCCTGGCTTTTATTATTATTATTATTATTATTATTAGTAGAGATGGGGTTTCACCATGTTGGCCAGGCTGTTCTCCAACTCCTGTCCTCAGGTGATCCACCCACATCAGCCTCCCAAAGTGCTAGGATTACAGGCATGAGCCACCATTCCCAGCCTGAGTTCATGATTTTTGTTTTATCTTTTAAACAAAAACTGGACAAGTGTAATGTTTTACATGAAAATTTGTTTTTATGTTAAATGTTTTGAAACTGAGTTTTAATGATTAGTAACAACCTACATACCAAATGAAATAGTTTTTGTAAGTTTGTATTAACTTAGAGCTCTCTTCATTGTTCAACACAGATCACTAAATTGGTTGGTGAAATTCCATTTCTCCTTGATTTCCATTGACATTGTATATCCATGGTTTTTCTTCTCCCTCTCTGCCTTTTGTGATTCTGTTCTGACACTATCTCCTGATACTCTGTAAAATGGGCCCTTCCTCTCTAGCTACCTACATACTCTTCATGAGCCCTCTAGCTTGTCTTGATCATCCCCTGCACTTGTCTTTTGTTCATTCCATACTTCTCAGTAGAGAGTCTTTGTACTCACCTAAATCCTGTCTCTCCTTTAGAAATATATCTTCCTGAGGCTTTTCTTAGCCTCTCCAGTGAAATTGAGTCTCTTTTCTGAACAGCTGTAAATGAAAAAATGTATGTGAAAAGATTTTTTTTAAATAATGTTACATTTTTATACTCAGCATTCAATACACAAGACATTGTTGATATTCAGTCACCTTTATACAGAACTCACATAAAGCCACCTTACATGGTGTTTACTTTTTTAGAGATTTTTGAAAAATGCTTTTTGAGGTATACTTAAAATACAATAAACTGCATGTTTAAATTATCTAATTTGTTAAAATTTGGCATACATACATGAAACTACACCCACAATCTAACATCTTCAAAAGTTTATGTATGCAGTCCTCCCTTCCATTTCTCTCCATCACAGGTACAATTGACTCTGTCATTATAGACTAATTTTTGTTTTCTAGGATTCTCTGTAAATTGAATCATACCATGTTTCTCTTAGCCTAGCTTCTTCCATTCTCCATAATTATTTTGAGATTAATTTACGTTGTTGCTTGCATCAATAGTTTATTTCTTTTTATGGCTAAACAGCATCCTGTCATATGAATGTACTTTAATTTGTTCAGTACCTGTCAATGCACATTTGGGATTTTTTTCCAATTTTTGCCTGTTACAAATAATGCTGCCATGAACATTTGTATATACATCTCTGTATGGACAATAGGCTTCATTTTTCTTGGGAAACTATTTAGGAGTGGAATGGCTAGATCGTATATTAGGTACATACCTTTTTCAAAAACTGTCAAATCATGTTCTAAATTTTACATTCCTATCAGCAGAAAATGAGAGTATTAGTTGCTCTGCATCCTTGCTAATACTTGATACAGTTAGGCTTTTTAATTTTAGACACTCTAAAGATGGGAGGTGGTAATTCATGTGGCTTTACTTGGCATAGTATTTTAGCACAACTTGAGATAAAAGTTGAACATTTATCCTAGATTGTTTTGCCTTATTTCTTTAACCCTCTGAATTTGAAAAGTCTGAATTTTGTTAACAACTTTCTTCTTTGAAAATAAAAATATGTTTAAAGTGTATGTCATGGTTTGCATGGCACTTTAAACACACAATGTACTCATTGCCATTCAGGCACAGTATTTTAATGGTAATACTTAAAGGAATCAGAAGTAGTAACAATAAAAGCAGCCTAATTTGTTTTAAATAAATACTCTTTATGTCCTTAGAAATATTTAGAACCTGTTTTGGCTTTTTGTTGTTGTTGTCTGTGCTTTCTTTATTTATCAGTTCTAATTATTTAAGAAAAAGCAAAATAATCTTCTCAAAAATTGGTTTGCAACAAAGTTGTTTATAGAGAGAAACATCCATAATTATGAAGGACAAAAGGAGTTGAACAAATATTTTTCTAAGAACCTTAAATAAGATTTTTAGCTATTAGATTGCTTTTAAACAAAAATAGCTATAACCTGAGATTTGAAACTTCATTACACAAAAACCAGGAGAAAATTGTACACCCAAGTGCTGTTTTATATCAAATGAGGATGGATTGACAACAGTGTTTTTATGCATCTGTTCTGCCCACATAAGAAGCCAGCTTCATCATCTGGATGTGTCCTGGGGCTGAAACTTGTTATAAATATGAGAATTTCACTTTTTTTTAATGGCAAGCAGAATATGGTATCCAGCTGTGGATTTGCTTATATATTGTGTTTGCATTTTTTTTTCCTGGGCTTGTTTTATACAGTATATGGCACTACATTGTCATACAAATTTCATGATTAATGCTTATTTATGAAACCTTGTATAAATATCTTAGGACTCAGTCAAACAATGTGCAAGTTAAACAGTTTTTTCTCTGAATATTGGAATGACCTCTCCTTTGGGAATAGTAGGTTGAATATGTTCTTTATCTGCAGAAAAGTCTCATATGTAGCATTTGCCTCTTATTGTTTGATATTATATCATTCTTTTTCAATTTATTTTGTTGGACAAGAAATCCAGTTTCAGATTTATTCCTGGGAAACACAGAAAAAATTTAGATGTGGAAATTATTTAGAAATAAGGATGGTAATTATTTTATATTACACTAAATAATTATATTTACTAGGATGTCTTTGCTTTTTGATTCTGTCCTGTGCTTGAGAGCATTTGTATGTGTTCTATTATTCATATATTGAAATAAATCTACTGTTTGCTAATAAGCTGTGCTTACATTACTGTGGTTTTAATCCACAAAAAATGCTAGGTTGGTTATTAAATATCACAGTGTAAAGCAAATTTCAAGTGTAAGTAAATAATGATCAGTGATGCATTGGTAGAGTTTTGTTTTGTAAATCTTACTTCTCTGGACTAATTTTCTCATATTAGTATTTTAGTGGATTGAAACTGGAAGTTGAAAGACTTATTTTCTCTTCTCTTTTTCTTATGCTCTCAGGTCCAGCTTTTCTGTGAACTAACTGATACCATGAATAAGGTCTGGAATAAGATTCATAGGAGAGGCAATCTTAACCTATCTTCAAGCTCTCCAGAGACCATGGCAGGGCCTGTTCCTACTTCTCCAGTTAGAAGCAGTATAGGCACAGCTCCTCCAGATACCAGCACATACAGCCCATCTGCTGACATTGGGACTACTACTGAGGTAAGTGTTTTTGAAAATCCTGTTACAAAATGACAGTTAATATATAACATGATTTCCAGATCACAGTTTGAAATGAAGATAACCTCACCACTGTGAAAACTGTTAGATTCTGAAGGTTCAACAGGAGCTGTTTCAGCAGTGTGTATTCCTTTTGGTCCAATAATTGTTTTTAATCACTTTCAATAGGTTATGGTACCCCATAGTAGGACTAGTAGGTTGTATATGTTCTTTATCTGTAGAAAAGTCTTGAACATTTATCCTAGGACAATGCAGGCTCTGTGAAATGGTAAAAACTGAGACACAGTAAAGGTATGTTTCCTCAGAAGTATGGAAATGTAGAAGCTGAATGAAAAAGAGGCTCATGGTCCCCTTTTCTCTACCTCTGTTCCTCTACACCTTTCTTGAACCAGGTGACTATAATCTAGTCATCTGGTTTAGATTAGTGGTTTTCAACCCTGTCAGACCCAGTGTCCTCTCCTTCTTCCTCCCAATCATAAAAGCTTTTCTTTTTATTTTTAACATCCTAACCTAGCATGCCACTACCTCTTTTGTGTAAGAAATATTTTTATAATGCCTCCTTTACTATCCTGAGTTGAAAATAAAAATGTAACCAGAAATGAAAACAAAAAATAATGTAACTTACATATACATATAATTTTAAAAATATAAAATATACAAACTTTAAAGCATAAATAAAAGGAAAGTAATTTAAGATACAGTAATATGTACTTCAATATGTAAATGCCTCGCTTAGCATGACTACATTAGAAGACATAATAGAGTAGTCAGATACATAAAATTGCTGTGAATATGATGACTGCATAGACTTGTGCAGGTCTTTGCTTAATACCACAAGTGGTATTGCTGTTGGTGACGTGATTTTCTAAAATCTAGTGACAAACTCTTGGTAAAGTTTCAAACAAAACATAGTTCAGTCTTTCATTATAGTGTTGAATTTTGGAACTTTTAGTGTATATTAAAATCATGCAAAAATGAAAAAAAAAAGTTTAGATTTAACATTTTATAAATAGGATTTTCACCTGTGTGTATATATGTGAGACAGTCTTCATTTTTCAGGACTGCCCTATTCTATACAGGACTTCATGAATCCCTAATTCCTAATCCTTAAATGCCAATAATGATACACTACTATTGAGTCAACCAAAAATACCCCATTCATTTCCAAACCATTGCTTAGAGGACAGATATTTTCCCAACAAGAACCACTGTTCTATAGTAGATGGAGGTAGTTTTGTTTTTGTTTCTGCATAAACACACCATTTCCTCTGGAAATAAAGCTATTGGCAAAATACAGAATGGGATAAGAATCAAGGAAAAAGGATGTTAATTTCTTTCATCTTACAAATCAGTAAAAGCAAACAAACTCAGTTAAAAGGGCAAATTTCAGCTGCTGTAGGGCTTTTAACACTTTGGAGTACATCTGTTTAACCCCTTGTACAAGGAACTTTTCTCTCTTGCCCATTTCACATCTTAAGAATCACAATAACCTAGGTGATAAGATTATTCTTTTTCTTTTTTCTTTTTTTTCCCAAATGAGGAAGAGGTAGAATGTCTGGAAATGAGCCTGTATCAAGTTAATGGGATACATCCTTTCTAGCGTAAAAGCAGTGAATTCTTTCTGGAAGATTTCCAATGTTATTAGCAAACAAAATCTTTTATAATTCCTGCAGTAAAAAAAGCTATTTAACTTTATTGAATGAAGCAGTTTCCAAACTTATTTAACCAAAAGCTCATTCTTCTCAGTCTGCCTATTAACAGGGTACAAAATATATTTTGTGAAATCGTTTGGTAGAGTAATCAAAGTTTAATCAGTTGCTAGACAAGGATTGTACAAGTGAAACTGATAAATACAGCTAAATCTTAGAGACATTTAAGTAGCTGAAAGGAGAATGTTCCATGAAACAGTTGTTTTCTAAGTACTGTGTTTACAGGAATGTTTAGAGGAACATGACATCCATTTTGGAGGGCTCACTCAACTCTTTTGGAAATGTTTTTTTTTTTTTTTTTTTTAAGGAATATTTAAAATAAATTTCAAGTCTAGGAAAGACAGGGCCCATATGAAATGGTTACAGCTTTTGGTCATACATCTAGAGACTGACATTTATGCAATGTATAGTGTGAATCATGCACTGTAGGATTGTACAGTGTACAAACAACACAGAAGGACATAGTGGCCCTGATGTGAAATGTAATAAAAGTAAATGCCCTAGAATCATAGAGGAAGGATTAATAAGTTCATTCTAAGAGATCTGTGGCTATTTTGTAGAGAAAATAACACTTGAGATGGATATTTAAAATTGAGTAAGACATGAGTAACAATTTTGTTTTAGTAGATGTATAATAATACATTCTGAAAGAATAGTATCCTCATCAGCCAAAGTGAGGAAGTTAAGAAAAGGGAAAATTTTGCTAAATTGCTTGAAAACAAGTAAATCCTGATTTCAACAACATCCTTATATGACTGAAATTCATTTTGAATTAGAAAGTTAAGGATTTTTTTCTGATTGGGCTATAAAGACAAGTAATGAAAATGCTCATAGTGGATGTGTTAGTTTTGTGTTATGTATATATTTAATCTGACCTGATGACAAAGATCTGAAAATGACAAAGTCTTAATGCAAAACTTTCATATATTAATATTCAAAAAAGACTATGTAAAGCAGCTCATAGAAATGGAGTCATAGGGGACGGTGGATGGGGAAATGGCATATATTTTCAAAGTGCACCCTATTCTCTTATTTATATATTGTGGTCAAGAAGAGAGATAGATGATTACTACTAGTCCAATATCAATTTGAAACCCACTTGGGAAGCTTGTTTGCTGAGAGGTATATTAGAATAATTTAGCTGATTTGTTTTTCACAGGCAGGAAGATTATTATGAAGATGGTTATGATATGATAATCAGTATTAAGGCATTGATCCAAGTTTACCCTGAGGAGGTGTTTATCTATTGAATATTTCATGTTTAATTTCTATTCTTGTTCTCAAAAAATATTATAGGTAGATTAACTGTGTGTGCATCTGGATTTAAATTTACCTCTTTCAATATTAGTAAATGATGATGTAAGAAAATATAGTCATTGTTTTCTCTAAGATGTATGGATGCTTCATCTGTGACTCAATCTGTGTTTATTTAATTCATCCAGAATTCAAAATTTGTGCCCAAGCCATTTCCCTTATTTTATAATGCTGCTAGAATTGTGCTTAATGACCTTTGTAATTTTTATGCCTTTTATTTTGGGCTCTAACATGGGAGTTAGGTTATTGTGGACCTTTGAATTCCTATGTAAAAAATGTTTATGTAATTTTGATGAATTTACCTGTGTAAATTCCATGTGTTACCCGCCACATGGAAATAAAGCCTTGATCTCTCACTATTGAAGCTACTGAACAAATGGGACTATAGAGGACCTATATGAAGGGGAGACTATATATATCTGTATTTTGTGTGTGTTTGTTTTAATCTATTCAAAGCCTTTATGCTTCTTTGAACATAGCATTCCTGGAAAGCTCTAGGAGTCCTTCTCTGCTCCTGGTAATCATTGTCCTGATAATCTTTTGATTATAAGAATATTTTCTGTTAGCCACACTATCATGTCAACAACACAACTATCTGCATACACATAGAAATATACAGTGTATATGTTGCTTTTAGCTATAGTAGTACTTCCCAATCTTTTTTATATCATTTCACATGTAGGAAATGTTATTTGTATCTGTGGTAAGCAGAAAAACCTCCACAGCATTGAAAGCTTCATTCACCCTGGACCCACCCAAAGACTATAAAGGCCAAGGTAATCCATGTCTCAGCATAGCTGTGACAAATCTCATGGTGTTTCAGTGCAGTAGTTAGCAAGCTCTCGGTTATAATTTCTCTTTCCTAAATATGTTCTTAGTATTTTTATTGCCTGATTAATAAGGTGTTAATGAATTTAAATAACATTGTTACATTGAAATTGTTTTTAATTATAGCTCCTTCCTCCCTCTTTGTAGCAAAATGATAAAACAAATAACAGCATAGGGCCCTTGTGGTACAGCATTTGATTAGTGTGGCAGAATCTTCTTGTGCCCAGGACTAATAAGAAAATAAAAAATTAAATTGAAATGACATAATTAGTTAACTCTAATAGGTTTTCCAAAATCTGTTAGCAAGTTGCATGAAGCATATCACTGACTGACTACTTGCCTGCTCTGTTTTGAGTAAATCCTAGTGTTGTTCCTGCCTTTACAAGAGCTGGGAACATAAAATGAAGACTCACTAAATTGAAAATGTTTAAATAGTAGCATGTGTATATAGAACTGTGCTTATACTCAATGCCTAATGTAAAAATTTTATGAAGGAGATTTGTATTAGCTTTCCCTTTTGGACTACTCACTAAACTAAGTACTTTACAAACATTATCTCTTTTTGAGACAGGACAGAGTCTCACTCTGTCGCCCAGGCTGGAGTACAGTGGTGTGATCTTGTCTCACTGCAACCTCCATCTTCTGGGTTCAAGTGATTCTCCTGCCTCAGCCTCCTGAGTAGCTGGGACTACAGATGTGCGCCACCACACCCCACTAATTTTTTTGTATTCTAGTTGAGACAGAGTTTCACTGTGTGGCCCAGGGTGGTCTGGAACTCCTGAGCTCAGGCAGTCTACCTGCGTCAGCCTTCCAAAGTGTTAGGATTACATGTGTGAGCCACCTTGCCAGGCTACAAGCATTATCTTATATAATTCCCAAACCAGTTTTATGAGGTAGATTATATTACACTTTCCATTTTACAGTGAAGAATTTGAGGTTAAGTAATTTGCTCAAAGGCATAGAGATAATAAGTAGCAGAGCTGAAACTAAAACCTCTGCATTCCGACTCTAGAGTTCCTATATATTTTTATTATATGATTCAATGGCTTATTTCATTGGTTAATCTTCCTTTTAAAGTTAGTTACTGTCATCAAGTGTAATGTGTGCTTCTTTATACTGGGGTTTCGTGGA